GGATTTCCCAGAATTCTCAGGAGAAGGCCATGCCCACACAGAGGTCTCGTTGGCTATTATCTGATTGACAGGCTAGACTCCACCCCTACACTCTCAATTCTCAAATTTACAAATGATTAAATAACTACCACAAGTAAGTAGATAATTTGTATTAGAAACTAAATAATTAAAATAACATAATTATAAATGCCCTAGTTTAATTAATATGGGAAACATTTTTAATACCTTAATTCTCATCCTCAACTTTTCTGTCCTAGATTAAAACCTTCTCTACAATTTGTTTCCTGGAATCAAGAAGGCTGGAAGACCAGCCTGTGTTCAGTACCTCCTGTGGGTCATTCTCATTCATTATTAGCTTTAGCAAATAACACATGTGTGAAAACTACCTTTGTGGAACTGAAAGAGAGATTCACAAGGCTCTACAAGAAAAAGGTAATTATTAGTACACTTTTGTAACTATGTGTGTTTATTTTGGCCAGTTAAAATGTACTCACTTTACAGGATTACTGTGTGCATTAAATGTCTAAAATGGTCGTGTTGCCCGTTGTTTTTGTGTAGGCTCACCTGCATCACTACCTACAAGTTGAGGGAATGGAGGAGGGCTGTTTTTCTGAAGCTGTGTCATCTTTGTCAGCACTCATACAAGAGTATAACCAGCTGGACGCGACGAAGAGCATGCCTGTGCAAGAATTACCTAGACTACGCATAGCTGTGTGAAGACGTGTGTCTTTCTGAATGTCACGATTTCTGTCACTTTACCTTTTTCTCTTTCAGCATTGTTTGTGATTCAGAAAACCCTGTTTGCGTTTCTCATATTATCAGGATATCTGTTTGTTGTCCAAAAGAGTGGTTTCTAATGAACCACAACTTGATGATAGTTGAAATTAGTGAAGTCCTAGTACCTTAACTTAAAACATTTTTCTTCAGAAAAATACCTTATTCTAAAATTGTATTTATTTATAATATGTACTTTAATCTTATGTCTAGATTTCCTGATTTTGGTATAACTGTGAAGGAGGTTTCGTTTCTGAGGCTTTTGGGGGAGGGGGAGTGGTAATGACATATTTGCACTCAAAGAATCACAATTTGTATCTTTATTTTAATATGTATTTTTATTAAATTATTTTTAAATATAGTTGCTTTTTTATCAAATCACTTAATTCTGTAATAAATGTTATTATTTTAAACATTGCTCCTTATTAACATTAATTTAAATATCACCATTTATACATAAGAACAGAACTAAACCAGAGTTGAAAATAAGTGACTTATAATAATCTAGTGAAATTATTCCAATCACTGCACCTTACAGCTTTAGTCTTTACCAGTAATTATTTTAAATTTCACAGGTTAATTTATCAATTAGTGTAGTAATTTTTAGGCACAATTATTTAGTGCTCTGTTTACATTTTTTCTTTCTTTTGCAAAGCATTGATACTGTTTCTGGTTTTTATCAGGAATTTAATTTTATTTTTACATAGTTCAGTATAAAATCTTCTATATCTCAGTTTTTAATAGAAGCCAGAAAACTTGGCATTTTCTCCTTCCTGAAAGAAATGTTAATAAACTGCTGTGTAGATGAGGCAATGTACTTACACTTTAATCCTATTTTTCTTCAAGCATTAATCTAGAATCTTGCTGACTTTATAGTGATCATCATGTATATGATGGAACCTAGACTACATTGTCAAAGTAGAGACTATAGTTTTTTAATTTGATATTCTTTTTTTTTCAGAATCAAATGTTATAAATTGTACAATTTCTCTAATATATATAGAATTCATATTCAAATTGTTATTACGTAATGAAAGGGTATATATTGAAAATAGTTCATTTTTAGTTTTTCACATCTCCTGTTTTCAAGAGTGATCTGAGAATAGCTAGGCATTCCTACCCTTCTGAAAATCTAATTTGATTGCTACCATAAAGGTGATGTGTCCCCCTTCCTTAACCACATTCTTTGGTGTGAGGACATGATTCACTTACCCTAACTGCCCCCTCATGTGCCAATTTTTATAAAATCTTGAGTTCAGAAAATACATCTCCCGGATCTTGGCAATTCCTCTGACAAACACAAGATATAATCCAGAGCATTTTCCATTTAAATGACCCTTCGTTTGGACAATCAAATTGAATGGTGATCATCCGAGACTTATTAGGGACACAGCATCTCTTATCCAAGCATATGCCACAGAAAATGGGTCTGTAACTCTGAGTGCTTGAGCATCCAGAAAAAACAAATTTTTCAGCTTTGGAGTTTTGGAAAGTAGGTTGGCATGTTTTTCCTTTAGGAATCTAAAAAGACAAAAAATTTAAGACCTTTCATTAAAGGTAAAAAGTTTAGAGAAGTGATGCTATAGAACATTCTATCACACAAGCATGTAACCATAATTATTTCAAGTATATTAACAATAGTTGCTATTTCTTGACTTCCAGCACTGCTCTACCTCAAATTTCTCACCAACAGTTTGTCCTCACCATTCTTGCTCCCCACTCCCCAGTGGTTGTACTATTTCTGTTTGACTCAGCTCCGCAATGATTGCAAATTAATCTGTTTAATCCCTGGGTAAAGCCCTATTAAAGGTTTATATTCTTAAGACTTAGCAAATGCCCTAACACATCTCGGGCAGTTTGGTGCTGTCCATGTGTTCTTGTGATAGGGAGGAACTTGGGAATGAGAAGGACTGTGTACTATTTCTAATTGTTTCTCTACTTAGACATGTCATTGCTATTCTAGAAATAGCATCTGTCTAGTTGGACCCTGCAGTCTTGCAGAGTATTTTGTCATAGTCCTTTGGCAAGGTGGCTGTGTTAAATGAGGAGTATTCTGTAAATGGTGTGATCCTCCAAGTTGATGGAAGAGCACTAAGGACACCTCCTTAATGTTCATAATGTACTGTTCTTATTAATTTACAATGTGGCACCCAAGTTAATGTTTTGATCTCATTACATAAAGCTACTATAGATCAATTAAGTTAAAATCTGGGAAGGATCTACTCATAATGATATACAAAGTGGAGACCCCACAGCAAGCCAGCTGCTTAGGTCACACTTCACTAAACTAAGGAAGCTGTAGAATCTACAGCTTAAAGTTACCTCTGCCACCAAGTATGAGTTGGAGTCAATTTGATATCCCACTACAACAACAAACAGATTGTCTGTTTTCCCCTTAGTCAGTTTTACTTTTAAGACTTATAATGAATTCATTTTTATAAGAACCTCAAACCATAACACCACCCATCCCCCTCTAAAACATGCCCACACATTTTATGCTTACTGCCATTGACTTGATTCTGACTGATAGTGACCTCTATAAGCTTTCCAAGGGCAGATAGCCTCACCTGTCTCCCATAGAGTGCCTGATGGGTTTGAACTTATGACCTTTTGGTTAGCAGGCCAAATGCTTGCTTACCACTGCCACCAAGCCACTCTCACAAACACTGTAGGAGTCTTAATACTGAATTCTAATTAAACTTTACCTTTACTGTCTTAGATAGGTTACTGTCACACGGCTGAATGTAACATAGTCTTCTCTCTTTCCTCATTTCACAGTTGCTATTTTCATTGGTTACCCTGTTGGATATCCCCAGCCCACATGTTCTGGAACAAGGTGTCCACTTTGTTGCCTGCACAAGACATTTTCTTTTCCGGATAAGAGGGAGATTCCTGTAAGCTAAAAATAGATGGAGAAAAAATAACATATTTATAAGAATTGGTATCAGTAGGTAATTTTTAGTCATTTTTAAACTAATGGTTAACAGAGTTGAATATTTTTATTTTTATCTAATGTTCCTCAGACTAACCTTGTAGTCTCATTCATTGTTCTTTTTCCCGTTTCTCCTCACAAAATCACCTTTCACCCAACATTTACAATCCATTTTCTTAGAAATCATAAAAATACTTCATCTTAAAAACTGAGTAAATTTACCCACTTGCTTCTTTTTGCCTAGCTTATCGTCTGAGTGCTATGTTGCAGTTCATAATCTGCCCTCTCCTGGTTCTTGCCTCACTCTTGATACTCTTTCCAGCAAACATTGAAGTAGAGATCCGAAAGATTAGGGAATGAAAGATTAAATGGAATGATGTGGTCTTAATGTTACATTCCAAATGTTAAAATCTAGCACAGTAAAAATATCTTAGAGGAGACAGAATACTATGTCATCGAGACTAGTTGTACATCCTTCGCTCTTTGTTTTGGTCATTAAGGAAAGGAAAGAATTGAAATACACTTGAACTGTCTAAGAATCTTCATAGCCGCAGTCCTGGGTCGTGTGTGCTCTGTTTCAACCGCGGGGCGCACTTGTTGCTCTCCCTCTGTGGGCTGTCCACGGTGCACTGGGAGGAAGCGCTGGGGGAATGGATACATGGGTTTGTGAATTGGTGGGCCGATTAGAGCACCGCCCCCACCTGCTGCTCGGGAGAAACGGGAGGGGAGGGTCAATAAAAGAAAAAGCGGGCATATCTATCATTTTCTATCTCCATATAAAAATTTGGGGAGCTTCTTGTGTTGCTCATGAATGAATCAAGCCCATGGCTCATTCTAATTAATCTACATACTGCTTAGCTGTCTTTTTTTTGTTGATAATTTTATTGGGGCTCTTACATATAACAATCCATACATCCATTATATCACATGGATATATACAACTGTTGGTGTCAACAACTTCTAATGTTTAGCTGTCTCATATAATGTCCACTCTACGATGGATGCTTGGGAGATGAGATGATGAGGGTCCGCAATTGAACACAGTGAACTTTTGGGTAAATTATCCCCAAATCTGCACTTACGGTAATACTGACGACCACCCCCAAATTAAGCCTTCCTGAAAAGAATTAGTAGTCATCTTGAATATTATGCTTGAAGAAAATCACACAGCTTTCCGTTTTATCATACGCAGGTCTTGAAACTGCACATAGAACTGAGAAGAGGAAGCAGAAACTGTGAAGACAATTTAGGGGCCGTGAATGATTGAATGTGGCTCTTCTAGTCAAAGTCTCCACTCCCACTAAACGACCTTTGCATGCGTGGAGATGGTAAGAAGGTGCGGGAAGATACTGATAGGATTCACCTGGGAGTAATTTTGAACAGAATTCTCTAGCGTGGCATCCAGCTGTGTATAAAATGAGCTCTCTGAGAAGCAAGGGGAGGGATCTTATTACCAGTATGAGCCAGGAGGAGAGCATGTCATCTGGATCCGAGAGTCCTGCGCAGTGAACCCTCTGGGTCCAGAAGACAGATATAACATCCGAGTAGCAGCAGCAGAACCAGGAGCCAGAACAAGGAACAGCGGTGGACATCCTAACCCAGAGTAAGTAAAGCTGAGGGTTTTGTGCAGTGTGCTGGCTTGCAGAGTGGGGTGCCTCTGGATACTTAATTGGGGAAGTTAGACTTGCTGACCCATGGCGTTTGAGTTGAATGTCTTCAGGTTGAGGCTTACAGTGGAGTGATGTGCCCCTTTGAATATTTATTAGTAGACCTGAAAGATTTTTGTCAAGTGCCCTAACTATCCTGGGCATTTCTCACAAGTATTACAACTTATTAACTTCCTTAGTAAACTGTCTAATCATAAATTTTGTCTGAGTTTTGTGTAGCCATTGCAATAGATATTAGACCCAGAGGTAAATTAGGGAATACTAATTGAAAACAACACAGGGAGATGACAGTTCAAAGACCTGACCCAGGAAGTATATTAAAGGCCTGACATCTACAAAAATAAAGGTAGTTTAGACTATTACATTATGAGTAACTACACTTAAAGCTAATCCAAGAGTTGTTCCAAAAAATTTTTAACATAAAAAATAAGAAAACTAGAAGAGATGTTTTAAAAGTGAAAAAAGCTTGTGTTCTCTGAGCGTTGAGAAAAGCTTGGGGACTTGATATTGTAAGGTAGTCCAGAAGCGCCAGAAACCAAATCAGTCGAATTAAAACAAACAGGCTTTATTAGGGAGGAAAAAACCCACAGTCCACAACGTCCGGGCTGGGTGAGTCGCACTGCAGGCTACAGGGGTGATGCTTATATGGACAGGTATGTACGGGTTTCTGGAATGTAAGGTGTCTTCCTGGTTCCGGGTGTATTCGTGCCGGGTGCAGAGCGGCGGATGAGAACAAAGCAGGCACTGAGCCAAACGGGCCATGCCGGGTGCAGAGTGGAGGGTCGAGAGCAAAGTGGGCACTGAGCTAAGCGGGCCATTCTGGTGCCGGGTGCAGAGCGGCAGGTCGAGAATAAAGCGGGCCATTAGCCAGCTCTGGTCAGCCCCGCAGGTGTGTGTGGGAGATTCAAGGCCACTTGCTAGTTGTTTCAGGAAGCTTTTGTCAGTTCCGCATGGGTGGGGGAGATTCAAGGCCACTTGCTGCTAGAAGCCGGCCTGGTATTGATCCAGCCATACAGATATCATTGCATGCTTATAAGTGACCAAGGAAAATCTTGGCACCATGCATACATCATCTGCAATTAGCTGAGTCTGTGACCATCAGTTACAATCACATATATCAAGTGTTACGTTTGCTTTGTAAGAAAAAATGTGTATTAGTGGTTAATTTAAAAGCCAGACTCCCTTTTTGCCCTCAAAATTACCGTGTCACTTAAGCTGAGGATAGATGTTAGAGATACTGACATGCACAAGGCTTCAAAAAATTCATGGGGACGTGGAAGAAACAGTAGCGGATGGCGGTTTGTTATGAGATCATCCAGCAGCCGAGTCCACAGACAAGAAGCGCACCACCCTGTGTTACCCAAGTATTGTAAACAATAAGACCCAAACCCAAAGGAGGGATCGGTACCAATGCCTAAATTCCAAACACCCAGTTACAGAATGCTGTGGGTGATCCAGGAAGCCACACATCCATTTGCCAGGTCCCTCCTTGGATTGAGTCCCCAGGGAAGCCCCTGTGCCTAGACTAGAAGGTGAACGGCCATAATATCAGGCAGAGCACCAAAGCACTGTAAAGCAGCTGTACTTAGACTGGAGTGTAAAACCTCGCTGTTAGCGTTCCCTCTGGACCCACTTCCTATTCTAAATCTAAATCTCCGCTTTGTCTTAGATTGAGGTCTGTCTCTGTTTTTTGTGATCATTGTTGCTGGGTCCTTTCGTTTTGTTGGGGGCTTCTTTGGTCCTTGTTGTGTCTGTTTCTATACAGGGAAGCCAGGATGGGTGGATGGGTGAGGATGGCAACTGAAAGGGTCACCTGGAGGGAGAGGGGTGGGGGGTGGGGACCCCATGGGTGCAAGAAGGAAGAAAGGTGGTAGTGCTGATTGTGGTGAGGAATGCACAACCCTTCTGAATATGATTGAGTTATTGAATGTTAGGGCGTATTAATTATAACTCAATAGAACCAATTGTTTTTAGAACCAATTATGTTAAAAGATAATGGAATGCTTCCACAAACTTTTTGAAGTGCCCCCCCACCCCGCCCAATACCTCATACTTCCTTTGAAACCACCAAGTCCATTACTGTCTAGTTGAGTCTGACTCGCAGCATTCATCGTAGGGTTTCGGAGGCTCTTAATCTTCATGGCAGCAGCCAGCTTCCTCTTTTGCCTGAGGAGCAGCACCTGGTGGGTTTGAACTGTTGATCTTGCCATGGTAGTCCAGTATTACCCATCAGTGCCACTTAAGCTCCTCCTTGATACATCTCATTGCCATCAAGTCGATTTCAACTCACAGCACCCCTGCCGGGCAGAGAGAAACTGTCCCTGTGGGTTTCAAATGCTGTAACTCTGTACAGGAGTAGAAAGCCTCATCCTTCTTCCACAGTGCAGCTGGTCGTTTTGAACGGCCAGACTTGCCGCTGGCGGTCCAACACTTAACCCAATGTGTAGCCAGGACTGCTTGCCTTTGAAACATGGCTAGACATGCATATCTCAAATACCAGAGAGCACTTGGGAGATTTTCCTCATTTTTTAGAGCAAAGCATTAACCAATATGAATGATCATTTGATGATTCGCTCAAACTAGGCTCCAGGTGAATCTACTGAAACTGTTCTAATTCATCAAATGAAATCAATTTGAACCTGATCCAAGGTGAAAAACGGCTGCTCTGAGATAGCCTCACCAGGGAGATACTTATAGTGAATTATTTGGATCTAATGCAGAAAATGAACTGTCCCTATATACTTTGATGAAAGGAGTATTTGACTTCTAATTTCAGAGGTTTTAGAGCTTCATGGGGGTATCATGGTTAGCTGAATAAGTACCTCAATGAAACCCACTGCCATCAAGTCAATTCTGACTCATCGGGACCCTATGTAGACTTCTGGGATTGTAAATCTTGACGTGAACAGATTGTCTCATGGTCTTCCCTGGAGCAGCTGATGGTTTGCAGTTAGCAGCCCCGTGTGTGACCCACAGTACCACCAGTAGGCCTTACAGTAAATACATATTCTCCACAACCTATCAAATTGTATACGAGTTAGCTGACATAGTCCCTAGGATCTTTCTTTTATGGAACCAAAAACCAAACTCACTGGCAGCGAGTCAAGGCTGACTCACCGCGACCCTGTAGGACAGCGTAGAACTGCCCCTGTGTGTGTCTGAGGCTGTTAGGAAGTGGAGAATGCTTTCTCCCGGGAGCAGCTGGTAGTTTGGAACTGTTGTCCTTGCCATTAGCAACCTGACTCAACCACTACACCTCCAGAGTTACTAAAACTCATTTCTCTGAGTATAGTTACTTTTTATTCAATATCCACAGAAGTGAACTTCAGGGCTCTTAGTATATACATATATAAACACTAAGCTTCAAGCAAAAGACATGCTTGGTGTGTGAATGAGAATACCAAAACAGAGCTGTGAGTCTGAACCAGATAGCACCATTGCCCCTTTCAGTACTTCCTCGTCTGTGCTGAATTTGCTGGCACCTTTTTAAAAATCATTTTATTATTTGTACATATGTTGCCATCATTTCCAAAACATTTTCTTTCTACTTAAGCCCTTGGTATCAGCTCCTCTTTTTTCCCTCGCTGCCCCCTTGTCCAACCTCATGAACCTTTGATAATTTGTTATTTTTATTTTCATACCTTACACCATCTGCTGTCTCCATTCACCCACGTTTCTGTTATTCGTCACTCTGGTGGGGCTGGTATACGTCGATCATTGTGATCGGTTCTCCCTTTCTTCCCCTTCTCCCCCTACCCTCATGGTATCGATGTTCCTGAGGCGGTTATCTGTCCTGGATTCTGTGTGCCGAGAGATCTTGTCTGTACCAGTGTACATGATCCAGTCTAGCTGGATTTGTAAGGTAGAACTGGGGTCATGATAGTAGGGGCAGGGGGAGCATTAAATAATTAGAGGAAGCTGATACCAAGGGCACAAGTAGAAAGCAAATGTTTTCAGAATGATGATGGCAGCAAATGTACAAATGTACTTCACATAATGGATGTATGTATGGATTGTGATGAGTTGTACAAGCCCCCAATAAAATGATTTTTTTTAAAAAGAACTAGAGGAATGTTGTGTGTTTTATCCGTGCTATACTGCACCCTGGCTAGTTCGTCCCTTCCTTGTGACCCTTCTGTGAGGGGATGTCCAATTGTCTATAGATGGGCTTTAAGTCTCCATTCCGACCCCTCTCTTCACATTGAAATGGTTGTTTGGGGTCTTCTGATGCCCGATACCTGCTTCCGTTGACACCTCGTGATCACACACAGTTGGTGTGCTTCTTCCATGTGGGCTTTCTTGCTTCCCTTCTAGAGGACCATTTTTTTAACTTCAAGACTCTAAGACCCCAGACGCTGTATCTTGTAATAGTGCAGGCACTTTTAAAGCCCCATCCACAGAATACTCTGGTGTTTAAATAAGATGCCAATTTAGAGCAGCTCAGATAATAAGTTTATTAATTTATTCACACTGTTTGTGGCCAGCTGTTCAAGATGAATAATGAAAGAATCTCATTTCATGTCTCTGTATACCCTATATACTCGAGTATAAGCTGACCCGAAATTTTTGAAGTAAAATTTTAAAATAGAATTTTGAAAATTTTACTTTGAAAATTCTGCTTATACTCAAGTATATATGTGACCTACTTTAAAAAATATATTGTTGTAGTTACATAATCTGGTGTCATCTTGAGACTATTAAGAGTAAATGGGTGGAGGTTAGCCTGTCAATCAGGTCCCAGCTTGATTACCTTATTTGGAGGCACTAAGGAGGTAAATAGCTCACTGGAGGCCAGACCCACAGTCTACTTGTCTTCCTGCTGACAAGACACATGGAGCTACACTGATAAAGCTAGAGTCTTGGAGCTGGAGGAGCCACGTGGGACCCACACCAATGCTGACATGCTTCCACTGCCCCTGGATCCACAAGACTTTCCACCACTGGTCTGTGATTTTCTGCATTCGGTGTCATTGCATGTGTTAACGTGAGTCTGAAGAGAGATTTATAGATTGGCATCAGACATATGGGCTAATATCAGACTTACAGACTTGATCTGGACTGGGTTAGAATGTTTGCTTAATACACAATTACTCTCAGACTAACACATATGTGTATGAAATTAATTGTTGAGCTTCATTTTCAGAGTGAATGAAATGATCATTTTATGTCAGTAGTTTTCTCTTTTTGGAAATAATGTTTCAAACATGATCCATTCCTCAAAGATGATTTTTAATCCTTTTCTGTTTATAAAATGTAGAAAATTTGCCTTTGAAATTTTTTGGAATTGAGTGGCTCAAGCTTTTTACCCATCATAAAACAATACAAATAAAAGAGTTTTAGGACACATAGAAACAATATTTAGTCAATTTTCCTGAGAAGAGGTTGATTAGGAATAAACAGATATAGTGAAATTTAGAATTTTTCTGACTTAGTGATAGTTGTATCAAATTGAGTGCCATGCCAGAAATATGTAAAATATTATAACCTTTCCACTCCAGATACTTAGAATATACTCGAATGAGGCAAAGACTAAGATGGCATATGTAAACTAAATTTCACTGTCAATAAAGACTTCTTGTATACCTGTGATAGAAAGAGACATGAACGACAACCAATAAAAGCCTTATATGAAAAATATGACTGTTCTTCTTATGAGTACCTGGCATAGCTTTATAGCTTGTTGAGAGGTGCTGTTGTAATGGTCCCAGACTACAGTCTGATTGGTCAGCCTTCTTGTCACCTTTAACCCCAGAGCAGTGACTGCCAGCCAGCTTTGGTATAAACAGAGGTGTGCATCCAATTACCCCACTCACACAGAGGCAGCGAAACAGAGGATTGGGCTGAAACACTTGGCCATTATGGTAATGTGCCCTGTTGAGCTCACATCCAACAGCTACAAGATCTGAAAAGAGAAGAAGGTAAAACCGCTAAAGCGTGCGATCGTCTAAATCTCCGGTTGTAAATCTTAAGGACATACCTGTCTCCTTCATGAAGCAGTGGGTGTGCTGTTGCTGGGTGCCATCCAGTCACTTCTAGCTCATAGCAACCCCGTGTGCAACAGACAGAAACCCGCTCGGCCCCGTGCAGTCCTCGTCCCTGTTCTCTTAGAGCCCATCGTTGCAGCCACTGTGTCAGCCATCTCTCTGAGGGTCTTCCTCATGTTCACTGACCGACACTAGGCATGGTGTCCTTCTCCAGCGACTGTCTCTCCCGAGATCATGGCTAAAGTACATAAGACAACATCTCACCGTCCTAGGTTCTAAGGAGCATTCTGCTGCACTTCTTCCTTGACAGGTTTGTTTAATCGTTTGGTTGACGCCATAATTCAAAAGCCTCTACTCTTCTCCAGTTTTCCCTGTTCGCTATCCAACTTTCACATGCACAGCAGGGGATTGAAAATATCTTCCCTGGGTCCGTGCACCCGAGATCTTAACGTCACACCTTCGCTTGTTTAACATTTGAAAGAGATCTTTTGCAGCAGATTCTCCCAGTCGTTTGATTTCTTAAGTGTTTTCTCCACAAGCATTGGTTGTGGATCTAAGGAAAGTGAAATCCTGGACAGCTTCACTCTATTTATCATGTTGCTTATTGGTCCAGTTGTGAGAATTTCGTTGTCTCTGTTGAGGTGTAATCCATACTGAAGGCTGTAGTCTTGGATCTTCATCAGTAAGTGCTTCAAGAATGCGTTGTTGTGTCATGTTGTGTGTTAAGTCTAGTACTCTATTTCTTACGGTCCATTTGGAACCTCCAATCTATAAAGCACTTACAGATAATCCTCACTGCCATTGAGTCAATACCAACTATAAGCGACCCTATAGGACAGGTAGAACTGCCTCTGTGGGTTTCTGGGATTGTAACTGTTATGGGAGCAGTATAACTCCTCTTTCTCCCACTGAGCAGCTGGTGGATTCAAACTCTTGACCGTGTGGTGAGCAGCCCAACACCAGGGCTTCTTATAGATGATAAAACCAAGCACCGTCAAGTCGATGCCGACTCACAGCAACCCTGTAGGACAGGGTGGAGCGGCTCCCGTGAGTTTCTGAAACTACCGTGACTCTTTATGGGAACAGAATGGCCCGTCTTTCTCCCACAGCGTGGCTGGCGGTTTCGAATAGCTAACTTCAGATCACAGTCCAAGGGTTACCACTTTGCCAAGGGAAAGTTTAACATCCGTGTTTTCGGTATGTTTCGACCTATGCATCTTAAACAAGGGTCACTTTTGGAATCAGAACCAAGAAGAAAAAAAAAAACCTCAATATAGTTAATAAGAAATCAGCGATGAAATGATGATTATAATTTGAGAGATGGGTTGATGACTTTGAGACCTGAGGTTTCCCCAGAGGTCCAATAATACGTTAACAGACTCTCAGGAAGTCAAGATGAAACCATGACAGAAGAAACGGTCATTTAACTGCAGCACTACAAGGTCTCTGGTCTTTTCCTTAAGAGAACCGGAGTAATTTTTTCCCCCCGCATCCTCTGAGGAAGATAGGTCAGCAGAGGGCTCTGTGGTCCCGTGGAGATGCTTGACGTTCTTTCAGTGGGTCTGCACAGTCAAAACTTTTCAAAATAGCGAGCCTTACATTAATCAACGCATTGGCTCCATGCTGAGGAGTCAGACCCTTCAGAGACACCATTTTGTCACATCAGTTTAACTTAAGGATGTTCTTAATGATGCTGCAATAAAAATTAATTTTATCAAATCTCACATATTGAGTGCATGTCTTTTTAGTATTTTGGGTGACAAATGGAAAGTAAGCAAAAGCCTTTCTGTGCAGCAAAATGCCATAGTTGTCTGGAGAAAAGCGCTGTGCTCCTGTTTCAAGAAAAATGAGCCACTTTTTAAAGTAGAGTGAAGAAATGACTGACAAACTATGGTTATTAATATCTGAGCTTTTGGCAGGCATTTTCTTGGGAAGCGAGCTTGTAATTTCAAGGAAACCAACTGATATTATTTGTTGCCAACGATAGAATTTGAGCTGTCGAGCACAAATTTGAATTTGGGAAAACTTCAATCTACCACTGAGATACTGACAACTACTCAATATGTATACTTTTCTGATGGGATTGGTAAGTGTATAAATGTGATCCTTTAATATTATATGATTAAACACGTCAACATTTGGAAGATCTCTTTGCCTTAGTAAACCAATATTTTTCAAATTCCGAATGCATGGAATCACAAGATTATGCCTGGATAAAAGACAACATTCCAGGAAGGTTATGGACACCACTTGATTTTAATATCCCATGGTTCAGAAAGTTCAACGATGAGCTTTCGAATTCTACAATGCATCCAGCTTTTAAGAAACTATCACTTACGAAGCTTTAAAATGGAACGTGCACAATTCTATTTGTTATATATCTAAGTGAAGTCATATGTTCATGTATTTCAACCCAAACAACTTATGACAGATTGAAAACAGATGAGAACCTAGCTAAACACTGGAGAGATTTCAAATATGTGAAACAATGCCAATCTTATCACAAAAATTTCTCTTCTAGGGGTATATGGTTTTTTCCCATGAAAATGTTATTTCTGTTCATATGCAGTAGGCGTATTAATTGTTTTTAATGAATGAATAAACTTACCTTTCTAATCCATTACATATTAACAGATACAATCCATATAAGGAAAAGCTCTCTGGGTCCTCAATCACGTCCAACACTGCTGGATCCTCAGATTACGCATTTAAAAAGCATCGCTCTGATCAGGGATCAGCAAGCATTCTGTACAAAGCCCATCACATCTCAGCCTTTGAACAGGCTGTCCTGTCTCTGTTGCAACTGCTGGATCCAGCCATTCTAAAGCAGCCAGAGACCACAGGGCAAGGCATGGGTGCAGCTGTGTTGCAATAAAACATTCTGTGTAAACCGGCGGTGGCCCTGAGGTCTCTGCGATCCCAGTTAGGGATTATTTCCAGCCCCTGTATTCTGTTAACACAGTCGTATTGTATGTGAAGTTACATACGGAAAGCTAACTTACGTAACCAGCTTTAGCTCTGTGAAGACAGGGCCTCTTTGTAACTGAGGGCAGATCCATCTCCTTTTTCCTTTTCCTTTTTGCATCCCAAGCATCTAACCACAGAAGTGGATGCTCCCTGGGTGTTGATCCAATTAATAAAAATAACTTGCTCAAACCCTATTTGGGAGAAAGGAGTGTCTTGAATTTTAGCATCTGATGAGCCATGTTTCCCCGTGTGGAGCCCTACATCACGATCATGTGCTAGATTGTTTGGGTTTTCTGTCGTTATCTCATTTGACCCCCTGGCGACTGTAAAAGCCAGGTACGTATGATGTAATCGAGTCACAGAGAGGTTAAGGAGTGGGATCAAGGCCACTCCGTTGTCAGAGCAGTGAAAAGGTAAGCCCTAAAACAACCACTTAACTAGAGTAATAGAAGACTGGCTGGAGCACTCGGCTGGTGAAACTTGAGTGGCTTCACATGTTCAGTCAGACTCCGAACGTGTTCTTGTTCCATGCTCAAGGAAACTTAGACTTCTTTACAGAGCGACTACGCTGCCCATCGCATGAGTATTTCTCCTCCTTCAGCAATCCTGGTGTTTATTCTAAGTTGGCATCTTGAGTGATTGCCGGTGTGTTGTAGGGTAGAGTCTGATTTCCTCTCCAGAGTTGGAACTCATAAAACTGAGGGTCAGCTTGTAATTTGGGGTTACCCCACCCTACTTTTTCACGCACTTGCTACAGCAAAAAGCACTGCAATTCAGTGGTTAGTTGGGAAGACCAAGGTTAAATAGCATGTCTGAATGCTAGAGATGCATTCTTATGTTTTTGTTTTGTTTTGCCTTTTCAAAAAGCAGGGAGAGTCTTTATATTAACTCTAGAGGGATGCATCCATATGTTTTAAGCAAAATTTACCCTTGATTATAGAAAAGGCTGTTAAGATTGCTTGGGGCAGGATTAATAAAGAAGAATTGTCATCTGTCACTCTAAGAACTCAGGCTATCTTTATATACTGTCTCCCATTTCTGGTCATTAAAACCATTTCCCTAAGCCTAAAGGGAACTGCAACACCACTTCAAGACAATAAAAATGACATAGGTTTCTGAGCTTATCTAAATATCTGCTAGTTTCATATGGTGTCCAACATTACTGGTCCATGAAAACCATAAACTACTTAACAGTTGGCAGAACTAAGCTGACTGTTCCAACTTAACAACTGCAGGGGGAACATTTGTCTACACAGAACGTTTACAGACACATCCAGATGAAGGTACTTACATGCGCACACTCCAGTCTCGTACCTAGGTCTGTCGGCCGAATAGTCACAATACAGCCCTTTGTGGGGGTCACAGAGGTCCGCTTCGTTGCAGTGGTCCCCTGGCTGCTTAGCGCAGACTTTGCAGCATCCACAGCCGTCCCTGACCAAGCTCACTCCAGGAGGGCACCTGGGCTTCAGGCGAGGGCATTTACAGGGCCAGTGACAAAACTGCTTACGCTGCTGCACTTCGGAGACTTGGCTGGGACTTCCCGCAGGTGGTGTGGCCAGTGGGCCAGTGCCCTGCCCCCTGCAGCAGGGCTTCATCCGACAATAAAAGTAACGTTAGAAATGGTTTCTCAAACAAATGGCGGAAGTCTCCTAAGATTGGAATGTTTCCTTTAACTTTCCTCTAGCTCTTAAATGCTTCCCCCACCCCCACCACTATCATGATCCCAATTCTACCTTACAAATCCGGCTAGACCAGAGGATGTACATTGGTACAGATAGCAACTGGAAACACAGGGAATCCAGGACAGATGACTCCTTCAGGACCAGTGGTGAGAGGGGCGATGCCTGGAGGGTAGAGGGAATGTGGGGTAGAAAGGGGAAACCGATTACAAGAATCTACGTATGGCCTCCTCCTTGGGGGATGGACAGCAGAGAAGAGGGTGGGGCGAGACGTTGAACAGTATAATATATGACAAAATAATTTATGAATTATGAAGGGTTTATGGGGGATGGAGGGGGAAAATGAGCAGCCAGTATTAAGTGCCCAAGTAGAAGACAAATGTTTTGAGAATGATGAGGGCAACAAATATACATATGTGCTTGACACAATGGATTGTATATATGGACTGTGATAAGAATTGTATGACCCCAATAAAATGATAAATTGGAATGTTTCCCTCAGACAGGCAGGACTTGGTGTGCTAAATCACAATAATGTATCTGTTAGCATTGGACACAAGTGATAACTTATTTCTGAAACACAACCTTTTCTTTGTTTGGCTTCCAAGACATCACTCTTGCTCCTGTTTGATTTCGCTCCTGATCACCCTCGACTAGGCACTTCCTCCGTCTTTGCAGGCTCCTGTCCCCCTAGATTAGGCCTACATGACAGACTTCGGTGGTGTTTTTCTAAATGCTGAACTGGCTACTAAAGTCCTCTCACTCTGCCCACTATCACTTGGCAATCTCATCCCTTGTCTTCAATTGTCTACACCCTACAAGTCTCAGCACTAAGCTTCCAGCTGTAACTCCCACACAGACAGAACTGTGCACTCACAGAGCTGACCGCCTCCTGAACCTCGCCAACAGGCAAAACACATGTGCAAAACCCACCTTTGGCCCCCAGAGAACTTTTGTGAATGAGCAGTCAGGAAGCTGGGTGTCATCAGATGACCCCTCACCTTTCACAGCCATGCTGAATAATTCTGATTCCATTGTCCTCCTGTCAGCAGAACCAGCCACGCTTCCCCATTTGCACTGCTACTGCCTAAGCACCGTTGAAATTGTTTTCTAACTTTTCTTCCCCTGAGAATGAGCCCTGAAATCCACCTTCCACATTCTGCTACAGGGACCTCTCCTAAACACATAGCTGCTTTTATGCCTCTCCTAAGTCCATCGGGGACTCCCTGCTGGCGACAGTCCACAGTCAAAATGTCGAAGCAGCTCCCTCTTCTGGCTCTTGCCTAGCGTTAGTTCTCTATAGTCACCATGTGGGTGTCCCCTCCACTCTCTTCCTCACTAAAATGTTCACTGTCCAACCTGCCACCTGGGGTCTGCCCATGTGTCCTTTAGTCGTGAGGTATTTCTGGACCATCTTTCCAGATTGCTCTTTCCAAAGTAGGATCGATCCCTTTCTACCTGAGCTCCTGTTACACCTCTGACATAGTAGCAGCGATGGTTCAGTGAATGACTTCTCGCGACATCATACCCTCCTGTATAATCTTGTCTTTCCAGTCTCAGCGTAATCTATCTAGTCAATGCGTGTTCCACACAGGTCTGCTGGGTGAATGACGGGAAGAAGGAGTCAGCCCTGGTTTTGCTGCAGTTGGGAAGAGCCCCGTGTCTGAGCACTTCCTTTCCCTTTGGCAATGTGTTTGTTCTGACAACACATTGTCTAGGATTGTTTTATTTCTCTCTGCCGGATAGGTAGAATTGCCTTTCACTATTACCTACCTCTTTTGTTCTTTTTCTCCGCACGGAAACACTAATCACAAAACCTGTCAGTAATTACTGAGATGGTTGCTTGGATTATGTTGTCCTAAATGTATGGTATCTTAAAATCCAAGGAAGGGTTTTTTTGGTTTGTTTTGGAAGAATATAAAAAAACAGCTTTGCTGCCATGCACAATGCATTGGAAAGGAGTTTTTAAAAAAAATAATTTTATTGGGGTCCATAGAACTCTTTATCGTAATCCATCCATCCATTATGTCAAGCACACTTGTACATTTGTTGCCATCATCATTTTCAAAACATTTTCTATTTGAACCCTTGGTATCAGCTCCTCATTTTTTGCCCTCCCTCTTCCACCCTCCCTCCCTCACGAACCCTTGATAATTCATAAATTATTATTTTGTTATGTCTTACACTGACCGTTGTCTCCCTTCACTCGCTTTTCTCTTGTCCGTCCCCCAGGGAGGGGGTTATATGTAGATCATTGTGATTGGTTCCCCATTTCAACCCCCACCTTTCCCTTAACCTTCCTGGTATCGCTACTCTCATTATTGGTCCTGAGGGGTTTATCTGTCCTGGATTCCCTGTGTTTCCAGCTATTTTCTGTACCAGTGTACATGCTCTGGTTTAGCTGGATTTATAAGGTAGAATTGGGATTATGATAATGGGGGGAGGAGCATTAAAGAACTAGAGGAAAGCTGTATGTTTCATCGGTGCTATATTGCACCCTGAATGGCTCGTCTCCTCCCCATGACCCTTCTTTAAGGGGATGTCAGTTGCTTACAGGTGGGCTTTGGGTCTCCACTCTGCACTCCCCCTATTTCACAATGATATGATTTTTTGTTCTTTGATGCCTAATAACCTGATCCCTTCGACACCTCATGATCACACAGGCTGGTGTGCTTCTTCCATGTGGGCTTTGTTGTTTTTGAGCTAGATGGCTGCTTGTTTACTTTAAGACCCCAGATGCTATATCTTTTGATAGCCAGGCACCATCAGCTTTCTTCACCACATTTGCTTATGCACCCACTTTGTCTTCAGCGATTGTGTCGGGAAGGTGAGCATCATGGAATACCAGTTTAATAGAACAAAGTGTTCTTGCATTGAGGGAATAATTGAGTAGAGGCCCAATGTCCTTTTGTACCTTAATACTAAACCTATAAAGATGTGCACATAGATCTATTTCCCCGTCCTCATATATAAATATATTTGCATATGTGCATGCCTGTATTTAGACCTCTATAAATGCCTGTTGCCTCCTAGCTCTTTCCTCTATTTCCTTTTACCTGGAAAGTGGATTATTACAAATACAGTTAGTTAGGTTACAACTTACCTTCTCATTTGGTCTTATTTGATCCATTTTAAATTTGTCCTCATTTTTCCTATTTTCTGCTTCCTTTTTGATTGAGGCTTTTATGTTTTACTTTGTCATTGTTAGTTTTTTAAAATTTCTCTGTATATGAAATGCAGGACAGGTAAATCTAGAGAGATAGTAACTGGTGGGTATGGCAGGGGAGCTTAGGGGTAAATGGGGAGCTAATAGCAATGAAAACAAAATGAAGAAAATGTTCTCAAACTGTTTGTGGTGATTGAATAATGCTTCTTGGTGTGAATGAACTATTAATTTATATGATATATGAAATGTGTGCCACTAAAGCCATTTAAGAAAAAAATAATATAAAAAGTATTGTCGGTCATCCTTACAACAATCATCATCATAATTTATGAACAACCCAAAACCAAAGCTGTTGTAACCTAGTCCATTCCGACTTGTGGCAATCCTAGTGTCACAGAATAGAATCGCTTCACTGGACTTGCTTGACCACAAAAGTTAGAGAAGGAGATTACCTTATTTTCTGTGGCGCCACTAGGTGGATTTGAACTGCCGATCTGTAGGTTAGTAGTCCAACACAAACCATTTATACTCCCTAGAGACCTTCATTTATTAAGAGATAGTATTAATCAGCACTTGTTACATCTTGGGCACTTAGGTAACATCTTCACATGGGTTATTTCTAAACTAAAACTCCATTCTCTCCTTGGAGTCATGAGCGCTAAATACAGCGTAGTGCCCAGGCTGGATTCTAGAACAGCCAAAAAGAAAAAACCCAACCTACTGCCAAGGAGTCTATAAATTCACCTGTTCAGGATCACTCAGAAAATTAGCTGTGAAGCTGGAATTCTAGCTCAAAAGTATCTGGAGCCCATTCTAAAAATTCAGGCTCCTAGTGACCCTGTGTAGGGTTTCCAAGCCTGTAATTCTTAGCTGGAGATCTCCTGGGGAGCAGCTGGTGGGTTTGAACTGTCTGCCTGTGGTTAGCTGACCTGACAGCACCACTAGCACTCAAGAAGGTATTAATTGGGGTGAGGGTGGGGGAAAACAACTCTTGAAATCCAAATAAAATTGAGAATTGAGGCCACAGCTCCATGGGAGAGAGACTGGGCCTCTTGCTCCTGTAAAGAGTTAGTCTCAGAAACCCGCAGGGGTCGCTGTGAGTCAGCATTGACTCGACGGCAGTGAGTATCTTCATCCACTTCCACTGAGTCCATTATGACTCACCTGATAGACAGGGCAGCACCCCACCCCAACCCCCCATGTGTTTGCCAGACTAACTCTTTACAGTAGTAGAAAGCCTCATCTTTCTCCTCTGAAGGAGCTTTTGGTTTTGAACAGCTGACCTTGTGGTTAGCAGCCCAAAGTGTAACCACTACACCAGGGCTCTGAGAAGAGTGTCTTAGTTAGAACAAATGTACCATGGTAATGCAAAATACTAATACTGGGGAAACTAGGCAAAATTGCATAGGTGTTCTCTGCAACTTAGAGTAAAAAAATCAAAATGTTTTCTATAAGATACCCCAAAATTTAAAAATGTACTTAAAAAATGAAAACTAGGGCGAGGGGCTGGTGTAAAAGGGAGCTGATGGTCAAGGAATTCAAGAAGAAAGAGAAAGTTTGAAACATTGTGGTAGCAATAGTACAATACTGATGGATGTGATTGAACCATGGAACTATACGATATTTGTATTAACTTGCAATAAAATGGTTTTGGATAAATAAAAATGAAAACTATAACGTGAAGTTATAGAGTAATATATCTCTATAAGAGAGGTATGATTATTACCCTTATTTTACAGATTAAGAAGCTCAGGCTTCTGGAAATAAATTCACCTGTTCAGGATCACTCAGAAAATTAGCTGTGAAGCTGGAATTCTAGCTGAAAAGTATCTGGAGCCCATTCTATTAACCACTGCACCATACATTAACAAGTGTTAGGAATGTTTTTCACACCTGTTTTAGGACTTTAGCAATAAGAGCAAACT